TGATGGAAAGTGGCTTGGCAAGCTCCTCTGCCAGCTCCCCCGATACTCTCGGGTGGATCCCATCCGGCCCCACAGACTTGTGAGTGTCCAGGTGGCGTAGCAGGTCATTAACTGCTTCCTCCTGGACTATGAGGGCTCCATTCTGCTCCCCGTCCCTGTCTTCCAGCTCAGGGGGCTGAGTACCCTGGGGATGACTGGTCTGGCTATTAAAGACTGAGGCAAAGAAGGCATTAAGTACCTCAGCCTTTTCTTCATCCTTAGTCACAATGTTCCCCCCCACATCCAGCAAAGGATGGAGATTCTCCTTGGCTCTCCTTTTATTGTTGATGTACTTATAAAAACATTTTTTATTATCTTTTACAGCATTGGCCAGATTGAGTTCTAGCTGGGCTTTTGCCTTTCTAATTTCCTCCCTGCAGGACCTAACAAGATCCCTGTACTCCTCCTGAGTTGCCCGCCCCTTCTTCCAAAAGAGAACTGTTCCAAAATAGAACTGTTTCCCAACAAGAACGGAACTGTTTCCCAATATGTGTCTTTTTTTCCCTTAATTCCCAATATCTCTGGACTACCTCCTCTCAAATACTGCACCTTTAAATAAAAAAAAAAATGCAGAAATAATTTCCTGATAAATTCAATATCAAATGTCATCATAGACTGTTAGCAGTTGCATTTTATATTTTTGTTTTAAACTAGTCTCCCTGCAAAGTCCAAGGCATATTTAGTTTCCCCCTGCTCTCCACTTGATCATTTATGATATCAAAGGCCCAGGACACTTTTCTAGGAATAAAGTTATAAAATGCATTCCATTAATTTTGCATGGTTTTCAGTGAAAATATTTCTGCGTTTCTCATTTTCATTTGATTCCCAAAATTTACCAGCATGAAGAATTTCCTGAAAACATTAACTTTATATCTGCCATAATACACAATTCTTACATTCATATACATAACACGAGGTTGCACTCCCTATATACAGAATATCCAGGCTCCACATTAGACTTCTAATCAGCGTTTCTGTGACTGAATAGCTCTATAGGGTCATTTCACTAACAATAGAAGTTAACTGTGTGAATGACTGACAGAATTCTTCTTTTAAAAATGCAAAGCTTAAAAATCTGTGCGTTCAACCTGTAAAATATACCGATAACACTCAGAGAAGAAAATAACTAGGTATCTTGTATTTGTAAGTCTTCCTCATTCAGCAAAATTAATTTTTTAAAACCTATTTAATTCTATTTTCTAATCTGCTTTCAAGTGAGATAACTAGGTATTTGTCATAGTATAGGCAAAGAAAATAAGGATTTCCGGGATATTAAAATGCTCTGCACCTTGGCAAATGCTAGAAATGGGCTGATTTCCTCCCCTCCTTGAAAGATCCAGTAATGCTAGTTCTGACTCTGTGACCCTGCTTTGGGATGAGATGGCTAGGAATGGATTTCTTACACACAGACTGAGCCACAGGAACTGCACTGAAGTGCACTCTTCCTTTCTATATACAAAAGCAAATACCCATATGTAAGTTAATTCTGTTTTTATGTGAGGCAGGGAAGTTTGCACAGAAAAGCTATTCATTTTTCATAGCAGAACTGATCTGAAGTGATCTCTCAATAAGGCCATTTTATTTGTGGGGTGGCACCCACAGGCACAGGGGTTTGGAAACAGTGAACTGTGGGAACACAGATTTTGGTATTTTGTTTACAGTCTGTGTATTTCTTTGGGCAAGGAACAACAAGAGGAAAAGTTTGCAAATTCTACAGAGAAACATGGACAACTTTAATCTTAGTTGTAAAGAAGCTAAAGACACTATGCAACACATTGAATCCTCCCTTCAAATAGAAATAAATAGCCTTGCAACATCAACAAATAGAAAACAGACTAACAGATAAAAGACAGATAGGAAGAAAGCAATGATTCTCTCCATAATGTAGTCCAATCTCATTTAAGCTCCTCTAATTTCCTTGCCAAATCTATAGCTTAAATAAAGTACCCGAAGTATACTGTGGAACCATATCTCATCTTACTATTAAGACTTCAACAGCAGGGGCAAATGCAAAAACTCTGAACAACTTCTTTCAATAGGTAATTACCTTCTTATAAACGTGTCCCAGCTATTTCACTTAATATTAATCTTTCTTCTCACTACACTTCTCATGTCTCACACTATAAAACTTGTGACTGGGAACCATAAAAACGGTATTTTTAGCATCAATCCTGTACATAAATTTAGTTTCTGGTGTTTAATGGATACATTTGAAAGTCTAGAACATGGCGTTAACCCAACAATATAAAGTGAACTACAGACCAGCAATACTTTGGTAATTTTAAAATTGGCAACTTCACCACAGACTGGGTCTCAAACACGCATTTAAAAGTCAGCATTCCCAATGACATTTTAAATATCTTAGCCAATTCTTCTCGTATCAGCTTCTGAAGCAGAATATTGGCAGGTAACATTATCACATACCTTTCGTAATATACTAGCAAACCAACAAAAAGCAGCAGCAAGCATCTGTTGCTCTGTAGTTAATCAAAATCATAAAAATTAATGCTGAAGGGCGAGAAAAACTAGTGGTTTTCAGTTTACCTTTTGCGTTGTTTTTCTTGCAAAGCATCCTTATTTTTCTTTCTTCTGCATTAGAAAGACTTAAACTTCCAGTATCTTCATGTTTAACCTTTAAAACAAACTGATTTAAGTTACTGTAATACTGTTAACATTTTTCAATGGAAAGAAATATATTCAAAAGTGTTGTTAGCTAGGAAAGTTAAACTCCAGTTACCTTAGGTACCTCAAATGGAACAACTTGACCATTCTTCTCAAGTATATCAGCCAGTAAGGTTAGTGTTTTCTCACGAGGAACAATATTTTCTTCTTGAATTTTAGTCCAAACAGCTTCAGCCTTTCCCCAGTCACCATTGTTCTCTGAAACAAGATTCAAATCTTCAGATAAAAGCACATTTAGAGTATACATACATATGTGAAGTGATTCAAAAAAGGTATCTTTGGAAAATAATTCATCAATTAATCATGTGGTTCTGTTTCATATGATCATCAACTTGAAAAGTTCTAATTTTAATACACAGAGGACACCAGAAGATGCAAACAGAAAAAACTCCAAAGGATTGTATGAATTTTCAAATGAATGAGAAATCAACTCAAAAATATTGCAGAAGTGTTCCTCCCTAGCTCATCAGTTCTAATATTCTTGATTGTTATTTGTAAAAACAATTACAAAAATTTCTAAATTATTACAAAACATTAACACTCTAAGGTACCACTTCTAAATTCTATTCTGAAATTCTTGAAATGAAATCCTCTGGTTACATTGCTACTGAGTTAGAGCACCTACATCCCAGAATTTTATCACTTTCAAGTTAAAAAAGTGTTCTAGGCCTTCAGGCTCTCATTTTGCTTGGGGGCAGGGGGGAAGTGTATCTGAAGACTGTAAAAGGCAAGTTTTCTGAAAGACAAAAACTTAAAAAATTGCTACCAAATGCACAGAATAATTCAACTGTTTTCAACAAGAATAGCAATTTATATATGCACCACTGTACAAAACTACAAACAAACAGAAAGCTGGACTTTGTGAAAGAAAACAGTTAATTACCATTTAACTACATACAGCACACAGTTTCCTGTGTCTCCTATCATAAGCCACCAGAACAGCATTGACTTCCGGTTGTAGGTCCTATTCACAGCTATCTAATCCCAACATCTGCTAGCTGTATTCTGTCCGTTCCATGGTTTAATTCAGAATCCCAGAAATGGAGATATGCAAGGCAAGAAGGCGGATGATGGAATGAATCAGTCACACGGCAATATCTCAGCCTGTAACAGCAGCTCTTCAGCTATTCTTCCACTGTTCAGTTAAGGAACTTCAGCTGTTCTGTAGCTCAGGCTCCACTGACTAAGTCATAATACAAGGAGAAGCTGGAGCAGCCACCTGGAAGCAGTATGACGCACTTGGATATTCTCTAGAATTGTTATAAAGTTGGCGTTTCAAAGCAGCATATATTGCTTTGTAAACAATACTGCAATGCAATACTGAAACGTTATAGTGCAATGTTCTCTTCTTGCCAGGAGCAGCATGGGCTTAGGAAAACACATGGATATGTAACCAGGCTGGTTCAACATCCAAGCCCACTTTCAACAACGTTCTGGCATCAATTCAGCTTTTTAGAAGAGACAGCAAACTTCGTGACTGCCCTAAGTCAAATAAAATGACCGGTTTTAAGGACTAAATACTGCAGATATCGTTTTGAAGCAGATTATTATGGCAGTTAACAGAGTAGGGACAGAGAATGTCTTAACACTTTCTCATGTGTTTGTCCCAATGTTTGACGCTCGTGAGGCCACATTAAGGACTGTGTCCAGTTTTAGGCTCCACAACTATAAAAGAGATGCTAGCAACTGGAGCAAATTCAGCCATCAAGACAGACATGGGGCTGGAGCAGATGAAGCAAAAGAGGAAGTTGAAGCAGATGAGTTTTGGGCAGCCTGGAGAAAAGCAGGCTAACAGGGGGATCTAATTGCTTTCTTCAACTACCTAACTGACAGAGAAGAGACAGCCAGTCTCTCCTTGGAAGTGCACAGCAAAGCATGGAGGGTGACGGTTAAAAGTTGCAGCAATGGAGTATCTGAGGATGATCAAACCCTGGAACAGGTTGCCCAGGGAGGCTGTTTGATTTCAACCCTTGGAGGCACTCAAAACGTTACTTAGACAAGGCCATGTTCTGATCTAACTTTGAAGCTGTGAAAGGGCTAGACCTAAAACTCCTGAGGCTCTCTCCAGCATAAATTATTCTGTGATTCTACAAAACCAAATGCAGTGTTTTCAACATTTTTGATCATAGCTTGGACTAGATGGTAGATTCTTTTTTTATATGCTTAAAATAGATCTGAAGTTATGGCTCAGGTGCAAAATGACAACTCTGTACTGTACTTGTGCATGGGGCAGCTTTGATAGATAATCTGAAATGGTTGAAAGCAGGAATGTGCATGGGTTTTGTCTTTTAAGGTGACAGAAACCCACAAACATTTTCCACTTCTTTGAACAGATGGAATTCGTTTTGTCTTTTGAAAGAAGACTGAAAATTCTGCATGACAGAATTTGATAAATTTTATCTTAGATTCTCTTCCTAGCAGGCACACTGTCAGACTTAGTCACTGCCAGAGGTGAACAGGATGAGCGGAGAAATAGGAAGACTTCTTCCCTGTTGAGACAAGATTGCTTTTCAGGCCTACTTGATTTTTGGTGGTGAACCAGTATACGCAAAGCCAGAACTGGGTAATGCTACAGTTTGGTTTTGAAGCTTTCTGAGGGTGTTCAGGAAATGAAAAGGAAAAAAGTTCTCAAGGGGTCTCTGGTCATCTTTCTTTGTGGAAGTACTCATCTTTTCTGCTTGTGTTAAGTGCAATGGGGAAGAAGCCTCTTTGGGAAGAAGCCTCTTTCATTACCATACAAAAAGAAAAATGGGGTTTGAATAATATCTTATTTAGCATTAAAACATCATTAGTTCTAGTCAACCAAAAATATATATGGGGAACAGCCTAAAACTACTTGAAGCTCAAATGCAAGTTCTCCCATGACCAAATATATCAAATTGCTATAGTGGCTCATTAATACATGTACACATTACCGTACATAGCAATCCCTGTGATGCTTTTTTTTAATGTCCCAATTCACTATTTAGTGCTCCGTATCCAATCTTAACACAAAATATTTTTTCAAGACTTTAAAATAACTTGAGTTTCCAAAATTTTTATTACGTATAATACAGTATGATACCCTGAATAACAAAACCAGCACAGACCGAAAAATACAGAAAAGAAGAAATGAAAAACACTATAAATACATCCTACACTAAGTGTAGCACAGAAATGAATTTTCAATTTTAAAAAATGTTCCGTTCCTACAAATGATGCAAAAGTTAGGTTGTGGCTGGTGAAGAATTGGTAGATATAAAAGAAAAAATGCACCTTTCAGAACCAGATCCAATTACAGGAGACTCCAGATCTATATCAGTTACGAAGATATAAAAAATAAGCAGATTTTCTTCTTTAAGCATATTAAAAACCAAAATAGAGTAAACTTTCAAATTAGGACACAAGATAATAGCATGGGTTGGAAGACTTGTGCTGTATAAGTTCTATGTAAGTGTTGAGGTCTGCAGGTAGAAAAACCTGTACTCTCTCCCCTGCAAAATGCCTCAGAAATGGTATCCAGGCTAATTGCATACCCAGATAAAGCTCCTCTCCAATTCAGGGTTATTTCCTATCTCCAACCGTAAAAGAACACAGATTACAACATGAAAAAGATCACAAGCTCACTTACCACACAGTTGAAGCAGGTAGTAGTACATCTCATCTCTATCACATTCAAATAGATTTTGAGTTAATTCTACCAAATGTTCCAAAGTCTCCATCTTCAAAAAAAAAAAAAAAAAAAAGGAACATAGTTATACCTCAACCAAACAATTATTTTTCTATATATGTGCACTTTACATGCTGTGTGCATCCAGCTAAAATAATATTTCTGTTTAAGTATATACCAGCATTTACACAGAGCATTAAGTTCACCTCATCAGCCTGTCACACGTCCTTTCACAAACATAAAAATCAAACAATGAAATATTTTAAAACAATTTTTGTTGGAATATAATGACAGTAACATAGAAGACATCATATGAGCCACATACCTGATTACTTGAGATACACTTTTTTGCAAACCACTGCAACCTTCCAGAGTGTGCTCTCAAGCCAGGAGTCTGTAAAATATTTCCACAAGAAGAAACACATTACTTCACAAAGAACATTCTAAGGAGAAGTAAACATAGCACTTGTACTCATAATAAAAGCTCATAGTTTTTCTCTGGTTTTTGAAACCTGAATGAGACTACAAGCTCACAAATAATCAAGTTTGGTTGCATTTATGAGACACTTAAAAATTGCAGTCATTTTATTCAAGACTTTTTCCTTTTTGGTTGAACAGTGCTGAGAGATGATTTAAAATACGCTTCAGATAAACTGAATTGTTAAATCATTTCTATCACCACAGTAATAGGGTATTATTGCTATTACCTATGGTAATCATTACTCAAGGTAGAGAGTAACGCCAAATGTTTCCAAACTGTCTTCATAATGAAATGTTCATATTCAACACCACTGCGATGTCTCAGCAACTAGAAAACCATGCCTCTCAACCGCAACATCACCATTTGGTACCCCTTCTCTGCTAACATTAGCCATTTTCTTACAACTATTCAATACCTAAAAACAACAGTGCTTTTAGATATTGATTTCTCTTGCTCAGTAAGAAAAACAGGGATTTGCAGAGCAGTAACTGTTACAACTGTAACGTGCTGCCAATGCAGATGCCAGGTATGCTAACTATATGCCAATTCCTGTCCCAGAACAGAGCAAAGGCTTACTCTTAAGAGAGTGCGTATACAGAGGAACTGATGTATAATAGTTAATATGCCATAGTTCTTTCTGTTATTAATTTTCTCAGGTTTGATGAGCCTTTGCTTTTTCATTTCTTTGTTGTTTCAAGCAGACTACAGCTACAGAATACACATTTTCAAAAAGGTTTCAATCCTTGGAAACTCTATCTGGTATAGACTACTACATTGTGCCTTCTCAGCATGACAGACCACAATCAAAGTATCGGTTCCTCCACTTAAATAAATTCTTAAATAAACATAGGAAAATTCAAAGTTCTTAAAGAAACATGTTACAGGCATGCCAGTACTTATGTCCAACGTATCTAAAAAAATGATACAAAAAAACCTGTGTGCAAGGCATCCATCATTTTCACCTCTTACCCTTCCCCTCCCACAGAGTACCTGAATTTACTTTCTTTATACTCTCTTGTTTTAGCACAAGGATCATTTACAGAGAGGACTCTGCTTTCATTTCAGGTGTCCAGATTCACATTAATATAGCTCAAAGTGATTCCGAGGAAATGACTGTTCAACCCTACAGAGAAACCCGTGTTTTGACTCTTGAAGGCTTTTAGCTGTTAATATTATAAGAAGTCTCTACTGTCTAAACATGAAGTGTGACTTCGAAAATTTGAACACCACTTCACATAAAAGGTAAGAGGCAGTTTGAACAAAAAGCTGTGAGAAATATTGAGTCTTAGTTCCAAAGCACCGGAAACAATTACCATTGGGAAAGTCAATTTACCTTCTATCTTTTTAAACAGATAATTTCCTTTTCCCGTATTCTCCAAAAGCAGAATTATTACATCCCCCTGAAATAATTCAGCATACACCAGAAAAACCGCATGCAAAACTTCAATCAAAAAATGTTAAAATTTGCTAAAGTTATAGTAAACAGTGCTCTCCAGAGTAAATGTTAGGCCATGTAATCCTGCCAACCATCCAAACCATTTCATGCAATCAGTGTAAGCTTTTTAAAAAATAGGATGCTAACCCCCCCAGTTCTTCAACATGGACCATCTTTTCTATGCATTTAACTGTCCTATAAAAATAGTCTCAATCCAAGAGGTTACAGAAAAATAGCAGCTTCTCAAGTATTCAAAAATGGTATATAAAGACAGGTTTTTTCCCCCAGTTATTTATGTTTCTAGGTACCTGTTCAGTGCTTTTTAAGAGCCACCAAGCAGTTTCACATAAAATATGCTGAAAACTAAGTCAAGAATTAACATCTTACACAACAGGCTCTTGAAAATGAAAAAGAAAAAAGTATGTTGCCTGCATTTGTAGCTAATCCTCTTTAGGACATGGTAAAATTCAAATGCTGAATTCACTTACAACTTCCAATATCATTGCTGATCCGAATGCCAATGAACTCAACAGCTCCAAAGCTACAAACTTTTTATAGTAAATCCTTTCCTGTTCAGAAATGATTGATGTGTCTGTCACTACAAGGACAGCTGAGTTATACAACAGATATCCTTGTGTTTCATTTTGAAATTGAGAAGTGTTTTCACATACTGCAGGTCTCAATCATCAAAAGAACATCTAGGTCAGATTAACTAAATCTCCAGGGCTTGCCTGATAGTCCATATTTGTAGCTTATCCCTTACCATCTTAGGGAATTTTAAACATTGCATTTAGCAGGAAGCAGACTTTCTACAATACAGCAGACTAAAATACAGAATAAAACAATGCAAGGAATAAAAAAAAAAAAAAAAACCACACCAGTAAAAAACTGTTACTCTAATTACTCTTCCAAATTTCCATTTAAAATTTTAATCTTGCTTGTTTCAGCGGACAGAAAAAATTTCTATTATTGAGTCACAGTGTTTTATTTTGGTTTTTTTGCCATTTTTAGGGCATTCACTGCTTTAAAGAATGAAACAACTATTGAGAGTCTCAAGCAATTCATACAGCATATAAACTAAACATGGAGGTTTTCTGGCTTTTAAATTCTCTCAGAATATAAAACAGCTGTACTGTACCAGACCAAAGGTTCACCTAGCTTTTTATCCTCTTCCTAACAATGCCTGTGGGAGAATATAAAATGACAGAAAACCCAGCAATACTTCCCCCTTAGCGCTCTTTCACTCTCCAACTACTTGAAGTTCAGTGGGTCACACTGTTTCTAGTAAGTGATTTCTCTTCCATGAGCTTTTCTGGTTGCCCCAGGAACCCCATAAGATTTATCATTTGTAAGATCTTTTGGCAAAGGGTTGCCTCAGTTACCTGCTGCAAAAAAACACCAAAAACCTACCACTTATTTGTTTTCAGCCTAGCTTCTAACCAGCTTCATTTGAAGCCCCTAGATTTTGTATTGGAAGACAATGCACAATTGATTTCTCTTTATCCTCTCCATTTCATATTCATTTCACGACCGGTGTATATAATAATTCCCCATTTCGCTGTTTCTTTTCCAGACCAAGCAGAACTCACCTACTTAGTCATATCTCCTACAGAAACCATTCCATACTTTTGATCACCTTTGTTACTATCATTCTGAGGCTCAGCATACAACCCTACACTAATTTATTCATTGATTCTATACCTTCACGTACTGAAAGGAAAGCTAACCAGAAGGGGAAAAGATATGCTGCATCTTTAGAAGAACTCTTGCCAAGCAGCACTCGAAAATCATGTGAATCCTAACACACTGAAAGCATTTGATTTCTTCTCCTCCTTCCTAGAACCAGTCACTTCAGACAGGTGATTGAAGGGGTCCAATCACCAGAAAAATCTTTTCTGTACTAACATTTTTATTTGAGCTAATTTCTACCTATTATAACTGAAAGAAAACAGATTGTCTAGGAAAATACTGACCTGTCAGAGAGGATTCTATTTGATGTTTTTCCAGATTTTTAGATAATGATAGAAATATTCAAGTTTCATTTACATTAGCGTTCTCTAACTGTTACAGCTAATAGACCAATACTATTTTTTTACTTTTAAAAAGCCTTTTTTTTAAAAAAAAAAAGTTAAGTAATTTACAGAAGACATATGGAAAATATTTATTTCTCTCTACTTGCCTAAAGCAACCTTTTTCTCTTTGAACACAAAACTTACTTAAGGAGAAAAACCACAAAACCCAACATAACAGACCAGAAACGACATGGTATTGTTCAGAGAGAGGGACTTTTGGAAAACTAACTGTTGAGAATGTCCCAAAACAGTGCCACTTTTGCTATAGCTAGCTTTGGATGCATAATTATTTAAAAGCCAGCAAAAGTATTTTTCATTTGGCATATACATGACATGAGGTAGATTACTCTTTTGTTTTAACCTTCCAACACTGCACTTCCACAAACTACTACTGTACACTGGCTGGCAAAAATAATAGTTACATATCCTGGCCAACTTACTCTAGCCGTTCACAGTATAACTTCACTGTGAATAACACATCAATACTAACCTTTCAAGTTTAACTCTGCCCTCCTTAAGTGTTTTATGTTTTCTTCTAGATACTCACGTCTTCTTCCCAAATTTCAGTCTTTTCTTAGGGAAACAGTTTACTAAAATCACCAATACAAACATGTTGGAAAGAAACAGCCAAATTTTATAAACGCTATCCATGTTGCACTTTCTGATGGTATTTTTTTTTTGACAGGTAGATCCATCCGTTCCTCTCTTTGCAGCTAAAAAAGCCAGTAATAATGAGAGACAGCTAATGCTGCTAAGGAAGAAGAACATTTCATGATGAGTTACATCAACAGCCATAACAGACTTATGTTACCAGTACCAGAACCAGTTACTGAGATTCAGATGCCAAAGCAATGTCTTGCAAGAAAATGCATTACTTCTCCAAACAGACAGCCTTAAACAGACAGCTATAAGAACTGATGTGTGTCATTTCTACCAGCTCTCTCCAACATAAGCATTGGTGAAAACAAAACATTTGATGGGAAGTTCTTAGTTTAAAGACAGATTTTTCCCTGATTCCACAAAAATGTCTATCAAATCTCACAAATTCCATGCAGTTTCAATGAAGCCTGGGATATTTTTGTATGGCAGCTTACTAGAACAAAGTTTTTTACAACATAAACACTTTTGCTATGCTTGAATCTTCCCCTACGTTAAAATTCTTGGCAGAAGTCCTAACTTCTATTAAGCAGTAGGTGTGCTGCTTAATCAGAAAGTTAAAAGAATATGCAGATATATAATATATAGATAATATATATTTTGTACCTTATGTAGCCATCTAAATCTAGTTGATAGGTGACATGGTTAAAATTATCTTACACTTGTTATATCTTTGCCTCTTATTAAATACTGTTCACCTTCAAATAGCAATGCATTAGTTTTAAAAAATACTAATTAAAACATTTATA